ATTCCTGCTATGTACAATTTGCTTTTCGTGAAATAAATGTATTGATTTAAAATAATACAAAGGTAGTTTGCTCTCAACATTACATAAGTACCTTTGTTGAAGTTCATGCTAATTTTTTCTTTAAAAACAAAATGAAAATTTACATCTATTAAGTTTTTATTATTCTACTTAAAAATCTTTTCATTCTTTTAATCATACTCGTATTGCTTATCTTCAATATATCATTCGTAAAATGTGAATTGTAAAGCGATAATTTTTAAATAAAATCAGATAAGTTAAAAAAAATGTAGTTATGCGGGTCGGAGATTGGCTTATCAAGCCTATTGTTTTGCGATCCTTTATCGTCCTTTATGGTGAACTTTACACACATATGTATGTATGTGTATATATATTTATATACATATATATATATATATATATATAATGATCTGGGTAACCATTTACATTTATTTTTATGAAGATGTGTACTTCAAAATTTTTATTAAATAATGAAGACGTTCAATAGTACTTTACGACATACTAAATTCAGTATGTTTTCAATTATCATAGATAGCTCATATATTTCATATACGTAGTTGATGCGGCAATTGTTATTACCAAAATATTTTTAATGATTTATACTTATGTATAAACTATATTAATTTATAATAATTAGTTCCGGAATATCTAATAATGCACTTGGCAGTTTTAGAAACTTGGAAATCTATTTTTGTGTTATGTTTATATTATCGGAAAATAAAGAATCTTAAAAAACTTTAAAAACGTCATTTCCTACGGATCCTTTCTTTTAATTTTTTATATTGTTAATCGAAAGTATTTTTTATTTTAATTAAATCCGTATTAATATTATAATTATAATGAGTCGGATATTTTATCGAAGAGTTACTACGAAAGCATACTTTTATTAACCATTGTATATATTATATTAATTCTTTTTAACGAACGTTCAGATAAATATCTAGTAAGTATATTGTTCAAACGTTTTCTCTATATACAATACATTCATTTTTGTAAATTTACCTATAGTTTTTAATGCCAAAAAAGATAAACGAAATTCATGCAATATTGCCTGTGGCATGTTTTTAACTTAGATATATAGAACTGTTACAATTAAAGGTAAAAAATAATTTTAATTGCCGTTTCATACATGCACACACATATACACATATACACTTAATTTTTAAATATTAACATTAAAATATATATAATCTAAAAATATTAAAAAGTTCTAAAAGTTAGTCAGTTGATGAATCTTAAATGTAAATATTCTTCGTTTTGTGTGACTCATATTTTCAGAGCAATTGGTACTTCAGACAACATGGTATCACATGATCAAGCATACGACGCGAGTAAGTCGCTTGTTGTACATCCAGCTGTGGATTATAAACCGTATTAATAAAAAAAACATTGCATTTAATTTATCTCTAAACGCGAATGAGTAAGAGAAACAGAATAGACAATGTACAACATGAAAAAGACACTTTTTAAAATATATTTATAATTACACAGAGAATTTGTGTGTGCATCACGTGTATATATATGCAATAATTTTTAATCAAGTTTAGGAAAAAATTGACAAGCGTGCTAAACATATTGCAGATATTAACTTGCGTTTTTATACTTTTTTTTGTAACAGTAATACGTGAAGTATTATTTATCATCAATAAAATTGATGGATGATTTGTATTGTATCTTTAGACAAGGCGTCAATTAATTTTATCTATTGATTTGCTATGATTTTTTATATTGCTTACTTAAGTACTATGATACCTTCGTATAGTTTTTTGTAGTAGCCTAAATTAATATACGCTAATCTACAATTCGTATATTTTTCGATTGCTGCCAATTCGAGACTCTGTAATTAATTAGAAGTAATAATTACATTGTATATATAAATTTATTATTTCATTAAGTTAAATTAAATGTTTTGTTTAAATATATATAGTGAATTTTTCTTATATCAAAATTTGCACATTTTATTTGAAAAAAGTGTGGTGATTTTATCCATAGACATATTTCATACCTTTGCATTATGAAATTCAAACTGAATGTAATCAACCTTATTAAAAAATTTAAGATTTTAACATAATTAAAAATTTTAAATATTACATTTTTAAACAATATCCAAATAAATAGCAACAGAAGTAATAATGGTGGTTTAAATAATAACGTCGCATTTTAGACTATAATACTGTTTTCGTTTTTATCTATTTTATATTTAATTTTTTATTATGTAAATCATTTTTCCAATAGATATACATATCTATCCATTGTATTTCGATTATATTTTACTTGTGTGTGTGTGGCAGGGTAAATGGTGTTAGACAAGTGCACCATTAATTCTTTATAAATAATTATCGTGCAAAATAAATATAATACATATGGATATATTTGCAGTTCGCGTGCGAATATGTTGTGCCTTATGCAAACAATACATAGCTTTATAATTATACATCGGTTACTAAAAATCTAAGTATGCTTGCGTGTATATATTAGGTGTATTTACGTATCTGTACATCGACATCTTTGCACTATATTGTCAAGCATATCAAATGAAGTCATAGAATTTTGAAAGAAGATGAGAATAAAATAAGATACGAGCGAAAGTAAAGAAAGTCGGATGTGTGTCACACATACGCTGACCACCCCATATTCTTTTTGATGATATAGTCATTTGTTTGGGTCTTTGGTGGCCGGAGTTGTCGACGATCGAGACGTGGAAGAGACACACACTATGGATTATTGGCGATTTGGCGGACGTGCGCGAAGAAAGAATAGACAGCACGGATTATAACGATTAACTAGATGCATGCACACTGGCCTATAAGAGTATCGGACCGTTTTGCTAAACTGGAGTTTCGCAGCCATCGTTTGTAGCTATTAAATTATAATGTCCCTATTAAAGGCTTTTTTCTCGTTTACTTGTTGAAATGTATTATAGAAGACTATCGATTTACCGTTCAAATAACAGCAAAAATAATAATACAAAGTACGTGCAAAGTAGTACAATCGAAGTACAGGAATAAAATTAAATCGCTTCTATTATTTCTCTTCAAATCCAAGATTTCCTTATGCCCGTTTGAGTAAATATTTTAGTTAAAAGTAAAGTCAAGTATTTTATTTGCATGTCATTTTACAAGAAAAATTAGTGACTTAATTTCTTTGGTGAGATCTAGCTTCCTAGCTTTTCTTTTCTTTACATTTAAACATTTATTTTGCAAATAGAGCGACTGAACGTCAGGAAAACAAGTATACGAGATCATATACTGCTATAATGTTTAAAAGTTACATAATTTTATTTGCAAAAGAAATTTTGTCTTGGTGTTAATATCTCCAGCTATTGCAAATATGGTACTAGCAATACTTTTATCCCGGTACACGTGCGCGTTTTATCTATTGGCTCGACGAGCTAGAGTTCATCGTCACTTTAAAATTGCACGATGAAATTAACATGAAGTAACGTGTGTGTGTGCTGTAATTATATAGGAGCAGTTTGGACGACCGGAAAATCGGCTGAGAATATCCTTCCAATATAATGCCAGCAATGAGAGAGATGCTGACTGGACTGACGCTATGCTTATCTACGAACGGCCAGTCCGGGATGAAAAAAGTAAAGTCATCTGCCTGTAATAGGTGTGCTTCCGATTTGTTCAAATATCGTCTTACCCGCATTTTGCCTTGAAGTATATGAAGAATTATGCGAGACGAGCACAGAAGCTCTTAAAGGCAAGTCAGGCGTGAAGCAGGCCCTTTTTACAATCGAATGTGGCATCAATTGTACCATCATTTGCACCTTTTCCTTTTATTAAATACTGGCCCTTTTCATTTTAATTTTTTTCCTTTTATTGTCTTTATTGTATTTTAATGTCTTATTAATTTATGTATTTCATTAAAATGCTCCGAATTTATAAAATGTGCAAATTGATGCTTGGTTAATACCATGTTTGAATTTTAAACGAAGCATTTTTTTCAAAATCTTGGTATCACATTCGAATTCGAATATTGACTAATTATAATTATTGAAATAACTTAGACTTTAATTTTACGTCGTTTTCATTGAAATTTTATGATATATAAATAAAATAATTTTTTTAATGTTATATTTTTGTAATCATTTCTATCGGTGTAATTATATGAAAATGAAACTAAACAAAAAACGAATAAAAGGTGCCAAGAATAATTTTTTGTAAATTTCAAAATTATTACTCGTTACTCACAGGAAACCTTTTAGCAGTTTTTGAGCATGCACCGACCTCTCAATGTTCAACGCAATTCAACTACACAGTGAGTAACAATAAAATATCTCACAACAACAATAAAATATTATTTTATCAATAACAAAGAATAAACAATTACATATAAAAACAAATGCATTTGTCTCTTTATTTGTTTTACCTTAAAACAAAACATATTATTAATAATTTGTATACATTATACATAATTTTACATGATTTAGTTTATTTAATTGTTAAATAGCAACTTATTTAGGTTAATAGTAATTTAAAATCAAAAACTTTGTTAAAAAAAGTATTAGAATAAATTCATAATTAAATTTGGAAGAAGTAAAGTTTACAGTGTAGTTCTTAGATATAGTACGAATGTATTACATATTTATATGTTAAAAATATTAGTCCTAATTTAGTTTGGAGAATACGATGTATGAAATTTTGAAATATAATTTATTCCTATCTGTTAATTAATTCTTATATTTATAAGTATTATAAATTCTTAATTTGTAATACTATATTATAGTATTAATATAATACTGATTATGAAAATTAGTTCAGAATGATGAAACAACGTACAGAATTATTTAAGACAATTCTAACATTTTTAATTAAATTTTCAACCAAAAATAAAAATCTATATTTGTTAAATTTATTTCATAAAATTTATAATTTTATTTATTTGAAATACTAAAAATGTTTTGTTTGGTCATATTCTAAATTTGAAGTATCCGAATCTTTAATTGATGTACTTGAAATTGCTTATTTCTTTAGTAAAAAGTACATTTAGTATGATAGTGATTTTGAAGCTTAATATTTTTTGCAAAATTAATTAAAATAAAAAATTTAAAAATGTGTATACGTAATTTATTACTAAACTTTTGTTATGCGTATAATAATATATATCTACATATTAGTTTTCAAAAATCATAATTATTTTAATTGGTATAGTATGTTTTTATTTTGAAATTGAAAAATATTGATAACGTTAGATTGACGTATTCTAAAATAAGGGTTTAGGATATTTAAAAGATTCTGAAGTTGATGTAAATTATTAACATTTATAATACTACCATTGAATAATTAAAAGAAATAAAGATGTCATTATTATAATTTAAATAGCTAGGTTCTAAATCATTTGAAAATATAATAATACATTATAGAGTAGTTAATTTATCAAGTATCTAATAAATGTTTCAATGATACAATAACAAGCATAATTATATTTGCTATAAATTGAAAAGATATTTCATTGAATATAAGTACATCTATAATATTGCAATCTACGTTTCGTGTTTCAATTAATAAATTACAATTTTATTTTGTTGTAACAGCGCATTGACTTGCATGTAAGTCATGAGAATCTTCAGTCATTACTTATATATATTATCGTCATCCGTTCATTTGTTCTTAGATGGCGCGTAGCCATAAACGGCGATCGAGTTTTGGTTCACTATTATTGTATTACAGTTAGACAAATAGAAGACAAACGAATATATTATTACATGAATATGGCAAAAGAATTAAGGTAATAAATTTTTTTGATTAATATTTATAGACCATAAATCGTGCTTCGAAGCACGTGTTTACTTATTCACAGCAAACAATTTTTAGGTTATTGATGTGCCAGAGAAGTAAATACTTGTTTTCTCAATTTGAAAAGAACTTTTCTAAACAATAAAAAAACATAGTTATTAGATTTATAAATAGTTATTTGTAAATATTTAGATAATAGCTGCATTCATTTTAAGCGCGTGCATATACGTGTTTGGAAATTACTATTAGTTACGAAAGACTATTATGTAATCTACGTCAGCATACCAATTTAAAATTGTACAGACAATTTAATTTAATAAAAACACTTGTTGACTTTTTTTCATTTGTTCATTTTTATTCAAATCAAAATAAGTGTTTGTTTTGATATTTGAATATATAAAACATTACCATAAATTAAATTTATATAGTAATTATGACGAAGCAAATTGCAAATGCTTTTTACTAATGAATATAAATAAATATTATTGGGTCATATAAATTTTAATTTCAGAGAAGGTCTTTTATTGGGAATCGGTAATCCCCTTCTAGATATTTCAGCTACAGTGAGTGAAGATTTTTTAAAGAAATATGATCTTAAACCCAACGATGCAATTCTTGCCATTGAGAAACATAAGCCTCTATATGATGAGCTTATTGAGCACTATAATGCAGATTTTATTGCTGGAGGAGCTGCACAAAATTCAATGAGAGTGGCACAAGTAAAATAAATTATTTCAAATCAGATTTTTTTTAAAAATTTTAAATATTTATGTAATTATTTGATAGTTTATTAAATGTAAGTATTAGTTTTGTTACAATATAAAAAAGAAATAAGTTAAAGTTGGAAATAAATTTTTAAATAAATAAATATATTCATATATTTTTAATTTAATAGTATTTTATAAATGAAAAATAATACAGTATTATATATTAATAATGATTAATTAATATTAATATAATACCATATTATATATTAATAATATGATAGATATAAGTTTTTAAAAATACATTATATTTCCTTAATATTTTAAATTATTTTTCAAATTTTTTACGTTTAAAATTTTTAGATTAATTAGTAATTTTTTAAAATTATTTTAGTGGTTTTTAGGGAAACCCAAAGTTGCAATATTTATGGGTTCTGTTGGAAAAGATAAATACTCAGAAATTTTAGAAGAAAAAGCAAAAGAAAATGGTTTAAATGTAAGATATCAATATGTAGATGAAGTAACAACTGGAACTTGTGCAGTTTTGATTACTAATGGTGGAAAATATCGTTCTCTTTGTGCAAACTTATCGGCAGCAAATTATTTTTCACCATCACACATCGAAGAACCAGAAAATAAAAAGCTTATACAAGAAACAAATTGTTATTACATATCAGTAAGCATGTTTCATTATTTATCTACGTTTCATTATTGATGTTAAATTTAAATATCGGAATTATTTATTCATATTCCAGGGATTTTTCTTGACAGTCAGTCCAGAAACAATACAGGCTGTAGCTAAACATGCATTTCAACATGATAAAGTACTCATGATGAATCTTAGTGCTCCATTTCTATGTGAATTGTACAAAAAACCAATGAGAGCTGCTTTGCCTTATGTTGATGTCTTATTTGGTAATGAAACAGAAGCAGCAGCTTTTGCAAAGGCAAATGATTTTGAAACAACAGATTTGAAAGAAATAGCTATTAAAATTTCAAATTTGGAAAAAATTAATGCTAAAAGAAAAAGAATTGTTATTATAACACAAGGTTGTAGCCCTGTATTATTAGCCAAAAATGGTTTTATAAAAGAATATTGTGTTACGAAATTAACAGAAGATAAAGTCATTGATACAAATGGAGCTGGTGATGCCTTTGTAGGAGGTTAATTTATCCAATTTTTAAAAATTGATATCGATATAATGATTTAGATATATAAATTTTAAGGCCAAATTAAATTAATTTCTATTATTTTAACATTTCTTGTAATATAATATTTATTGTAGGTTTTTTAGCTCAGTATATACAATACCATAGTCTAGATACCTGTATAAAATGTGGAATTTGGGCAGCAACTCAAATAATACAAAGATCTGGATGTACTTATGAAGGAAAGCCAGATTTTGCACCATGATAAGCTTTGTTTTTTTTTTTCAATCAATCCTGTATATTGTACTTAATTAAATAATCAAAATTCTTGGGTTGTTGTTGTTTTATACAAACAACATTTTCTTAATAGCAATCATGTTCTTAAAGCAATAACAAAATAATTCAATAATGGGAACAATTGTATGTGAATTATATATGAATGTGCTTATTAGAAATGCAAAATTGCTAATAATTAGTTTTCTATATGAATAATTTTTATAAACTGAACTTAATATTAAAATCAATACTATCATAAAATACATTCAATTGCAAAAAAAAGTGTAGAAATGACAATTTATTAAAAATTATTACAATACTGTTATGGAACATTACGTTTAAGACTAAATACATATTCAAATTATTATTACTATTTTAAACGCTACTTATACAGATCGTGCTATTGTTACAAGAACTAGTAGTTTTTATTGATAAGAATTATGAAATAGAATATAACATAAATATGTATTTTAATTTTGTAAAAGTTGTTCAATTATAAAGATATGCAAAAGGAAATATGTATAGATCAATTGATTTATACAGTAGTATATACATTTTTATATGTCTACTTGTTTTTACTTGTAAAAATATTTGTAAAAAAATAAATAAAGTGTTTTGGGGTTTTACAATATATAAAAAAATGTATAAAATATTAAATTATTTTTAGTCTCTTAAGAGTTATTCTTTGAGATAAATGCAATGCAATATACTTTATTATATAATACACTTAACAGACACAATAAAGAAATATTATTAAAAAAAAAAGGTATTTTATTTATTAATCTTGTAAAATACTTCGAAAACTTTAGCTCCATAATTAAAATATATATACATTAAATAAATATTTTTAAATACATAAAACTAGGTATTCATAATTTTAAGTTCATATAAAATCATAATTATTATAATATTTAATAATATGATTAATTTTAGTTATAATAATTGTTTGAAGTTCAAAACAATAAACTGTAGATAATAAACGTATGGATGATTAATTATTGTACATTATAATATGCATATATTGATTATAAATACTTAAAAATCAACGAAATTTTTAAAAGGTACATAATTTTTAAAATCATTGAAGATTTTAATATTCTATATCATACTTTTAAACTCTTATTTTATAAAATATTTAAATACAAATAGAAGCATAATAAAAAATGTATGTATTTAAGCATATTCAACAATTAATTTATTGTTCCGCTTTATTTTCAAAATATGGTTTATAAATTGGAAGTGTGCTTTTCACCTAATCTTTTTTTTTCTAATACATTACAATATTAAGTCAAATATACATGTGAGTGTATAATGTGTAATTTATATTTTTCCAAAATAAATTCTATAAAATAGACAAATTATTGTTTAATTATTTGTTTAGCAATCCAATAATTAGATAATTTTCTTAAGAAAAATCGACTTTTTAAGTTAAAACATTATTATTTCTTTAATGTAGCAAATATGTTTATTAATAAGCGGTAATAAATTAATCTTTATACTACCATTGCATACTGAATTGAGCATTTTGAATATATAATAAATATTTTATTAATTAATAAATTAACTTTTGTAAAAATTAAAAAGAAAATATCGGTTCTCAACAGACAGATTGCAGGTTCATAATGTTTAGACGACGCAATATGAATAAAAAGCTAAATGGTGGGACTATACTGAATATGAAAAAATCAATATATAACTTGTAACGGATTCTTAGTGTGTTTATTAACGAAAATCAATACGCGACTGATCCATTATTGCTTATGATTTCAAACTGTAAGTTGCTCGTCCTTATCTCTAGAGAGAGAGAAAGAGAGAGATAGCCAGCTCGAAACTGTTCAATGATTCCCTGTATCTTTGAATGCTGGAATTTTTAAATCTATGATAATCTAGTTCGATGAATTTCTAGATTATTGATAAAAGTTATATCGACCTATAATTATGAAATAAAAATGCACTATCTCTTCTAGAAACGGTAATATTAAATACAATTTGATATAAAACTGCAATGTGTACCATTAGTTCATCATGCGTGATTTAAAAGCTTCAATAATTATATTAGTTTAAAATCAAGTTAATAATACATATATGTACATGAAATTATTATTGTGATATTTGAACAATTGTCGAATCGATTTTGCTTCCACTTCTAAAAAGAAGTAACTTAACTGTTTCATAATGATTCTGGTAATGAATTAATGTTAATTAATTATATCTTCTGCAAACTTACTGTCATGTCAATCGGAAAAAAAGTTCAAAATATAAGTTAGAATGATTTGCTTATAATTTAATTACTAACTAATTCGGCAAAAATAAAAAAACAAAATTTGTTATAGTTTAGTATAAATGAAAAATATAAATTAGTAGACCAACATTAAACTCCCGACGAAAGTATATTACATTCGAATTTAATTGTCTTACAACATAGAGTATATATTATTTGTGATTAGTATGAAATTTGATGACACATTGTATTACGAATAAATATAAAAATTCAGAGTATTAAATTAAAATTATGATGTTCGTATATTAAGAATTTAAGAAAAGTTGTATCGAAAATGTTACGAGGTTTGTTTTTTTTCCACGAATATAGTTTATTCATTAAAAAATACGTTATGTCGCACTGAGCTTGGAAAAAAGATAAGCCCAGTCGGTAAAAATAATTTCCTCGGTCCTTGATATTAATTTATGTACAAGCCCTCGATGCATTAAAAGCGTGCAGCATAGTATATATAATATAAAGTCAGAAATCGAATGCACCATATTGTATCCCTTACATTCAGTCGATAGACATATCCCGCTGAATTTCAATAAAAGCAATTATATATACTCTGTCGGAAGCTATCGTTGTCTGTTGATTGATGCACACGAAAGCACGGAACGAGTGTTAAAAAATACAAGGGCGGCCAGTAATAATACAAAGAGACACCAAGATCACCTTTCACACGCGCACTCCTTTCCATTCCATCCTCTTCGTTCGTTGCCTTCAAAAGCGAGTTCCTCTTTTACTCTCATCCCCTCTTTTCGTCCTCCCCCGCCGGGCTTATCATTTTAACGTATTTTACTTATATGAGACAACGCGCGCGCGTTATACATACATGTGCATTCATACATGAACCCGTGCGTAGCCAGTAGAGGACGGAAAGAAAAAAGCATCCGGGGTTTGAGTCCGCAGCGATCTCCACGACGCGCAGTCGCAGCGTCGCCAGTAGCTGTGGCAGGGGTACGAAAAACGAGCCCGCAACAAGGAGGGAAAGTCGCTGGCACGTGCGTGAACGACAGAGCGAACACGAACGTCGCCGCGGAAAAAAAGGGACGGGAATAAATGTTACCGTTGCTGTTACTTGGGCACAGAACCGAAGGAAATCGTATAGGCGGCGCTAGGTTGAGCGGGGGAGAGGGATACAATTTCCAGCCCCACGAAAGAGCAATGGGAGCCGTGCCTTGAATTGCGTATATTACATATGGGCTCATAATTATTCACTACTGTTTCGTTAAAGTGTGCGAGCGAACAAAATTATCGGTGCGATCTTGTAAAGCCGTGCGCGCGCACTCGTACACCAATAATAACGATAGTTAGATTGCTAGATGGTTGGATGGGTAAATGGATCAATGCATAGTTGGATAAATAGATAGGTAGATTAATGGACGGATGGATAAATGCATATAGAGCTGGGGTTGGTAAGTAAATAGTTGTCGGTATGTATAGGGAGGAGCCCAAAAGATGCGTATTTAAGGATGATCCTACCGTTCATGTATTTAGTAGCTGTCCATTTATCTTTTATTTCAAATAGATTGACCTATTACAAACTTTTTAGTAAACAATTCGTACAAAATGCAACTTACACCTATTGTACGTTTCTGTAATTGGCATCCTTTAAATCTTATAAATTTAATCGTGGAAATCTCTGAACTTCACGAACCTATTTATCATTATTAACATATGTGATATCGTTATTACTTTACATTTTTCTGTAAATATAGTGATTAGTTTATAATTTTTATTTTTTTAATGCTGGGGTAAGGCTTAGAGCTATAATAAATGTCATGCAGTTTGTTTTAAACAAGTGCGACGATACATTTCGAGTAAATTATTCGTTTGGCCTGAAACTATCATAATGTTTGGCAATTATTACCAGAAAAAAAATACATAAAGATACAGGGACTGGAATATATTGGTACAAATAATTCTCTTATTTTTTATGACTATACTGCCTGAAACAACGTTGTATTTCGTGAACGAATGCAAACCAACATAAAAGCATGGAGGTTAAAAAGATAGTTGCTGTAAAGTTTTAAAAAACAAAACAAAAATAAAAACAAATAAAAAAATGGAAAGAGCATGGCATACGGGTAGACAGGCGATAATCAAGTGAGCAATAGAGAAAGACAGAGAGGAGGTGATCCAGTGTAATAACGTGCATGACACACGCAAACACGGTGAAGTCGTAGCGGCGCAGTGGCGCTCCCCATCGGGTGCGCAGTAGCCGCGAGGTTGCGACGCGGCCATCTTTGTCAAGTGGGTAACTTTTGTTGATTTGTGTAATGTGACGCCGTTTTCGCAGACGTTAGAACCCAGCGACGGCGGAGACGACACTGCCGAGAGTGAACGTCGCGAGTGTAAAGTACGGTAAATATTGGCGTCAGCTACCGGGAGCAACGATCTCAATTCTTAACGTGTGCTCAAACCATCCGAGACGTGCGAAGATTTTTATTAGAAATATCCCGGGAGGAGGTAATGGTGGTGACGACGGTGGCGGTGGTAGCGGCTGCGACTGCGGCGGTAGTGACGACGGCGATAACGAAGAAAGAACTAGGCGACGATGACGACGTAGTGCAGCTCCTGTAGCCGTAGCGTTTTCATTTATGGTTGCGTTCGGTTCTCGTACACGCACGTATACGTAATAACGCGAGGCACGAGTCTCCTCGTTTATCGTGCGGTCGGAATACGCGCATTGTGTGCGCGCGCGCGCGATAAGAAAATTTCTCGCGGGTCCCCTCTCCGTCAGAGCTCGTTACATCGTAAGCGCGTATGTCCATCTCTGTTGGGCCCTCCGTGCAGCATAACTCCGAGGACGCGTGTGAGTGCGCGGACTCCGCTCGAATGTTTCATGTACCGTTTTCTATTTTACTGTGTGGGCTCTTGCTTTTCTCTTCCTCGATCCTGTGCGC